CATTTCTTCCTTTACAATTTTTGAAAGGAAAAAATAGAAATTAGATTATTCGATTTATAAGATTTATAAGAAAATCAAACATAAAAATTTCAAATACAAATGAAATAGATCGGATTTAACGAATATTACGAAAAAATATAAATAATTCATATCACTTATATATTATATGATCGATTTTTACACCATATTAAATAACCAACAAGTTTTAATGCAATTGTGAACACACCACGAACAACTGATTGCCAGAAGAAAGTACTAAACGGCCAATTACGTTCACACTGTATTCACTAGAAGGCAATAGTATCGTATAATACCCTTCAAACGTGTCAGGAACGTTTCTCTCCATTAACACACCGCATTCGAAACACGTCAGAATAGTCTAGTAGTAAGTTCAGACAAAGGAAAGCTCTACGACCGTTGGTCACGCTAATTTTACGCGTGATTGCTAGCAGCGGCCACCATTACGTGAGCTTTGACAGCTATTATCCGGTCGACATTCTTTCGATCATTATACCAATTACGTCTTTTAAATGATGAAAAGAATTCAAAATATCGAAATAAAAGTACCATTCAAATTATCTTTAAATTTTATTTTTTCTTTTCGGTTTTTCTCCCACTAAAGTAATCGATCATTCGTTAAATTTCGTCGATCCAATGATTATTCTCGTAATCACGATTTCTCCGTGTGACGCAAGCGGTTCAAACCGATTGAGAATCGATCGAAATATGGCCGAGCAGAGGCTAAAGGGTATCTTCGAAGATGTTATGAGCGGGTATAAAAAACTGGCTGGCCAGACACAGCTAGTGGGAATTATTAAATTGTATTCGCGCGGTTGAATTGGAGAGGTCACGAAGCGATCGACGACGAGCGCTAGTCACGAGACAGGGCGTCTCGCTCGAGCGATTTTGACGCGAGTCGAGCATTGTTCCACTCGACGATAGACAATGGGAGAAATAATGAAATATATTATTTTCGATGTCGAATCTACATGTTTTATAAATTTTGCTACTTTATAATTTAGAAATTATAGATACTTTAGATTTATAGGTAAGAGATTTCACATCAGTAGTTTCTAAATTATTTAGTAGAATTTCAATCAATATGTAGAATTTGAAAATTAATCATCTTACAAAATATAATTCAAAGATATCAAATCTAATAATACTTTATAAAGAAAATCTCTAAAATCAAATTTCTTTATTCAAAATCTCTTACATTTAATATTAAAAAAAAGATTATAATCTTCTAAGAATCAACAATAAATTATTTAAGAAGATTTTTCAAAAATTAATTATCTTTAAAAGTATCATTTAAATTAAAGATCTCATTTCAAATCTAATATTATTCCAAAGAATTCTCCAAAATCTTACACCTAACCTAATATTAAACTCTCTCCAAACTATATTTAAAAAGATTTCACTTTTCAACGATCATTTATCTCATAAAATATCAAGTTAAAAATTTCGATGCAACAATATCACAAATAAAGCCTCTCTAACATCATGTTTTCGCTATAAAGCCATCGCTCGTCACCAACCTGTCGAAATTGTTGCTCTCTAGAACAAAATGATCGTTTTATCGCCGTTTCGCCGAGATCTATCGCGCTTGCGCCGAAACGTCGACGAGCGACAGAGAAAGTATCCTTTCATCCAGGGCCGTGCGACTCTCTTTCGCCGTTCTGATCCTAATGGCCCGGAACGTGAGAGAGCAACCACTCGACAATCTTTACGACTGAGTCGCGTTTACGGCCGATTTTCCAGCGACGTCGTAAACGTGTATACCTGCTCCAAGCTCCTGTACGAGGACCGTAAAACCGACGACACGATCGCCGGTTCGTGAATTTCGCGACGCTCTCGTGGGAACCTGACACTTCGATCTTCCGTGATCAGTTGGTGGAGAGAGATGCTGCGTTGGTCGGTTCGATTTGGATGGAATTGATGGTAGGAGAAGAGTTTAGAAAGTTGCTGAGACTATTCAGTGCATAGATGTTGATGGTGGACTCTGGAAAGGGTGTGATTAGAATAGAAGAAAGTTTACGTTTATAGTTAATTTCAGCGATGGAGATATAGAAAAAGATGTAATGTTTTGTAACGAAATTAAAATTTTCTCGTTGGAATTTATAAGCGTTTCTCGTTTAAATAAAACATTTGTACATTATAATTATAAAACAATTTAAATTAAAAATTTTAATATTTCATGTTATATATATTATTACTCGATTTTATTTTAACTATGGAACAAATAATCGTTATAAATATTGATATATATAAATCAAAAAAATAATCAATGATATTTTTGAAGAAGCAACATTAAAAATACAAAATAAAATTAGTCAAGCTTATAACATGCTATTATAATCTTGGATAAAATTAGCCTAAACTAATATAATTGTTTTATCATGAATGTTTCTAATCTCCATCACAAGCGATTCATATTCAAATAACGACAAAATAAAATAATAATGACAAAAAAAAAATATCTCGTGTGTGTGCAAAGACCCTTACAACACTGTGTACGATGCTGATAATAACGTCGATCGGAGGATCGAGCGAGGAGGCAATGATCGATTTCTAGTGATCGACGTCGCTACTCGGCTCCATGTCACCGAAGCCGGTCGATATGCGAACGTCGATAGTCACTTAGCGGCTCATCAGAAGCTGCTAATCTTAATTCGCTTATCGGATTATTCGCGGTTCCAGCTGATGGAGATGTTTCGCGCATGAAAGGTAATCCGGTCGGTATGGTAATTCATCGGTGGACATCGTCGTAACGCTCCTGTTTCTTTCGTGTTGCTGCTCTTTCTCTCTCTCTCTTTCTTTCTCTCTCTCTTGTCGATTGCTTCTCGGTTTCATTCGTGCTCTCGAAAAGTTTACACTTCCCTAGAACAGGGAATAAAATTTTATATCATTATAGGTAACATGTTAATGTTTAAGATGATATTCTAATCTTGAACACTGATGAACTGTAACACGTAATTGGAAAATGGCCAATTATTTGTTTGAAATAACTCTGCAAATAAAATTGTCAATATCTAAAAATATATTTTTATTTTTTTGAATATAATTTTTTAAAAGATCTTTGCTTTTACTAAAAAATCAGTATACGATTTCCCTCTCATTTCTCATTTTATGCTACTTTAAATGAAGTAAAATGCACAAGTTATCTTATCGAAATTATCATCCAATCTATCCAAATAATCCAAATTATTATCACATCCAGACATTCAAAATGGACGTGCAATCCGCCAAGAGGTCATCGTCCAGGTCGCTG